CATCACCACCACCAGCACCATCACCATCACCATCACCATCAGCATCACCACCATCACCAACATCACCATCACCACCAGCACCACCATCACCAGCAGCACCAGCAGCCCCAGCAGCACCACCAGCACCGGCAGCCCCAGCAGCACCACCAGCACCAGCAGCACCAGCAGCCCCAGCAGCACCACCAGCCCCAGCAGCACCAGCAGCACCAACAGCACCATCACCAGCAGCACCAGCAGCCCCAGCAGCACCACCAGCCCCAGCAGCACCAGCAGCCCCAGCAGCACCAGCAGCACCAACAACCCCATCAGCCCCAGCAGCACCAGTCGCACCACCAGCACCAGCAGCCCCACCAGCACCAGCAGCCCCAGCAGGCACCAGCAGGGGCAGCAGCCACTGCAGCAGCGGCACTTATCCAGAATTGGCTGCAAATGCTGATCAGGTCTGGTTGTTCAGGTTCTTCTGATGGCATTCCAAAAAAAAAACTGTCATGGACCTGCAAGCCTTGAACTGTCTTCCGAAATCAGATCACTTGTACAACACGTTCGTGCATATAGTAAGCAGCATCGGCATCCGGAGTTCTGAACACCGCACCTCCTTTAAGTGCGTCTGAACCCTAGTTTGGAAGCCAGATCTTCCAGCATCCTAAAATCCACCACCAAGATCTCTAGCCTCTACTTGCCCCAAAACCACACCTGAACAGCTAGTAATCAACATGGTTGGCATCAAACCGGCACCATCCCCCAAGCTTGGCTTACTGCGAATATTCTAATATAATATAATATATTGGGTGCTTCTATTTTCTTGTCCAATATCCCTATATAACCCTATATTACCCTAGGTAACCCCCTATAATGCCTGCAGTTTCCATTTTCTTTTCCATTTTCCCCGAATGATTTCTAATTTTAGGAAACCCTAATCCTTACAAACTACCCTATATCACCCCAATATTACTGACAACTTGGCTGAGGAAGCCGCATGGCCGCCGACCGCATAAACCAGCGGGTACGGATAGAAGCGTATTCCCAAATGCTCCGCCTATGTGCAGGTACTTCTGGGTTGCTGTTAAGGGACTTGAATCAGGTTACCATAATGGGTATATATAGGAGCTAGTACGGTTTCCCCAAAACTGTAACTTAAATTAAGTTCCTTACCAGCAACCCAGATTATTGACGACTCTGGGCAGCTAAGTCTCCCAGTCCATGACTCATAGAACACTACACGAGAAGATCATGCAGGTGACGCGGCAGCTTGCTTGCGCTTGCCCGCAGAGGGCCCCATCACTTCGCTACTTGAGGCGGTAAGGCAAACAGGTGAGAGCCCAAGCAAGCCTGTTAAAAGCCTCAGATGCATTGCCCTTCTAGCTCGACGCTTCCTCCGGCAATCTGCCCTCACAGATCTGAAGCTCCTACTAAGTCTGAGCCCCCCAAAGGTATCCAAACTTTAAACCGACCACACCCAAAAAGCCTCCTTGCAGAGTATCTCTGACTCTGAGGCGTCACGCGACGGGGGAGGCGAAGATGGGTCCCGACTGGGCCGCATGACACATTACAGGGATCTAAAAATGATCTAGGGATCTTATTCAAGGGCCCTAAACCCTAAACCCTAACCCCCAAACCCTAAACCCTATGGGACTAGCTGATCTCTACCCCGATGCACTCTGCCATTCCTCAGCATTGGTCTGTAGTTTCTCCATCAGTTGAAGAACCTTTCAGCCCCAAATATTACCCTAATATGACTCCACTATAGCCCTAATATAACCCGAACATAACCCTAATATAGCCCAGTAGAGCCCCAATATAACCCCAAAATAGCCCTAGTATAACCCGAATATAACCCTGGTTATTTGGGAGATAATTTTGGGGTTGGATGCTTGGGTATACTTCTAGGCATGAAGCTGCAGGCAAATGGGTTCAAGCTGGGGATGATTACAGGGGTTATATAGGGGTTATATAGGGGCGACTATAGGGGTTATAAGGGTTAGTATGGGGACTATTATAGGGGTTATATAGGGGAATATAGGGGATAATGGAAAAGAAATGGAAACTACTATTTGGAGTTTGGTGGGCATCTAGTGGATCTATCATGCCCATGCTGTGCAGAATCCAAATGTCTTGCGGGGACTCCGAAACATCTGAAGCCCACCTGACCACGGAAATGCCAACAAGCAAGTTAAAACAACGAAAAAGAAGAGTCTTGCAAATGCCGTGTTTCCTTGGTTTTCTTGATATCATCCCTGGTTATCTTCATTTGGGCTGTGCCTGTTCTTTTCTTTGCAACTAGACCACTGACCTCCTTACAGTCCAGATGAGATGCGATGTGCAAATTCACAGGGCCCACTACCCCGGGAAAGTCCAGGAACATCAAAGCTGACTTGGAAACTTCTGGTTCCCAGGGAGTTATATACGGATACTAGAGGGAATAGGGATTTTGTAGGAATTATATACGGATGATGGAAAAGAAAATGGAAACTACTGTAGGCTAGAGGTCTTAGGCCCAGTCAGGAAGTTGAGGACGCTCCGGAAGAGGTTCGAGTCGCGATCCTTCGAAGCGTGGTGCGGAAGCTCTAGATCTCATCAGGAGGATGCGAGGCAGCAAGATGCTTGTGGCGAGAGCTACAGCGACAAGAAGTGTGATGACCGCAGATGCTGATAACCGCAATGGTGGTAAATTCTGCAGTGGACTGTTTTGGGGTCATCCTTTTGACCTCCTGGTATGTGTTGGATAATACTATCCTGGGGCCATTGAGCATTACTGGGCACCTGGCAGGCGATTGAAAGGACCCCGATTTCAAGACTTGGATTTCAACAGCGGCAGCCCAACCCCAGGCAAAAGTTTGTAGGTCTTGCAAAGTGACCAGTATGCATGAGGAAACGGCACCCGCTCAACTATCTAAGCATAGTTTTTGAAAAACTGCCTCTGCTTGTTTTCGCCGAAAGGCCACCATCCCCCGTCAACAATGGCCACGTGGCATGTTGAACCCTTTTCCGAGTCAGAAGCCATTTCAACTCCCATCCAGGCCCTACTGGAACTCTGACCGAAGATTCCCTTGGCTGCCGGCGAGGAATATTCGTCCGTCGCGGTCTCGCTGCGCCTGAGGGCGAGGGCCAGTCGAAGTGCCGGCCACGATAAGCGTTGTGGAAATGGATTGAGCTATAATCTAAGCCCCTAGTATCCCCCTGAATAAGCCCCAAAATCCCCCGTATAACTCCCTTTAAGGAGTTTGGACTCTGGCTCATGGGGGGGAGAAGGTCCCCGATGCCCCCAACAACCTGAACGTGACACGCCCAACCTGGGATGCCTGAAGGACCTCAGGATCAGATCCCCGTGGCCCAAACGTGAAACACGATATATATGGATTAAAAAGGGATAAGGGAAAAGAAAATGGAAACTACTCTTTTACAATAAGGAAATAAGGGACCATGGGATAAGGGGAAGGAAAAGGGAAACTACTGGGATGATGTTTTCTGAACTACACAACAATCAGAATCAGAACCCCCTTGATTGCAAGATGCTAAAAGCCCTGCCAGACTCGCTAAAGAAATGAGTGAAAGTAGGGTCTCCAGACCGTGGCAAACATCACAATCATCCTGAAAAATGGAAGAATCAGAATGTACCTGCTGGATGTCGAGAAGCCACATGGCGAAGCCAAGTCAGCAGTCTAGAGATTAAAGCTTTAGCTTTACACCCCCAAGCCGCTCTAGTCCAGGTTCCATTCCTTGAGTGCACTTTCAGGCATAGACCACGACGACACCTCCAACTCTGGCGAAACCAACAAACTAAAAATGTGCCTCCTCGACAATGCTAACGTTGCACTCCCGCCCAAAAAGACCTTTTTCAGCTTACGCGAACGGCCACAAGCCCAGCATGACCGCTCAAGTCCCTTTTTCCTGGAACGCCTTCTCACACAGCTTACGCAATCTTAGCGTGCCTGTCGCGAAGAGATCACCCTCAAACACTTTATGCCCGAACCCTTTACCCGCCAACTCTGGTGCCTGGAGGCGACCAGTCATCAATCGCTCCAAAAGGCCTCAGCCAGATTAGCTATAGCCTAACTCCTTGATCCCCCCTAATATACCCTTAGTACTCCCCTATATAATCCTTTATATAACCCCACATGTTCACATCCATCACCGCAAAATTGCTTGACTGGCAGAGAGACTTCAAAGCAAAAATCACCAAGGAATACTCGCTGGAATGGTCATCACAAGAGCGAAGTGAGTAGCAGTAGGAATTACAAGCACAAGAAGAAAACTAAAAGAAACTGTAAACAAGTATATAACCGTGAAGCAGTCTTGAAAGTGAAAGCGACTGCGAAGTCTTCGATGTTGATTTGAAGGGCTTGCAGGTGACCAGCCGCCCTGGCATCCTACCGTACATATCCTGTCATGGGGCAGGGGCTGCTAGAAAATGACATTTGGCACGTCGATGCCAGACAAAAGAAATCCGTTAACGGCAACAGCAACCGTCACAGCAATGGATATATTCAACTTGCAAACGAACCTAAGCAACGCCAGCAAGGTGGTGCTAAATAGCTGCTAAATGTCACCAACAGTTGAGGGCAGAGCTGCCAGGCTGCTGGGTGAAGGTGTGCCGTGAGGCCTCGCACCAAGCATTCTGAGGGATTTCCGGTTCGGTGTGCTGTGATCACAAGGCTCGGGGTCTGAGCTTGGGAGCTGTTCCAGCGGTCTTCAGAGGCGTTGGGATGTGCCTGGAGGCTGCCGGTACCACGACATGAATCTGGTGGGGCATGCCTCAAAGATGACCCCGCCAACATTGATGTCCACCTCCACCAAAACTGCAATTGCAAAGAAGGTATGCTGCAGCATGGGTCTGAGAGTCGGAATAGTGTAGCTGAGAGGCCCCGCTACATCCTAGTGAAACTGGGACTCCGTTGCAAAGCATTTCTGAGTGCCGCCTACTTTCAGACCGGAGTCTGCACGTCACGAATGCTAATGCCACTATGCTACAGCAAATGGTAGAGTGGCTAAGAACGAGCATGTCAAGTCGCAGCTTGCCACCCCCTCCCCGCCATGGTCTCGGTGGCGACATTGTGCTCGGACACCCGCTGCCGCTCTTTCTCAGCGCCCTCCGCTTGCAGTGTCAGGCCAGCTTTAGCAGGGCTTTGCTGGGCATTCTGCACTGCGCTCGGACCTTCAGTGAAGCTCTCAGCAAAACACAAGTCCTCGTACTCCATGCGGAACTTCTCGCGCTCCAAGAGGAAACGCCGACGTCCCTGCTGTACGTCCTGAGACACAGGAAGGCACTTCGGTCTCCAGCTCTCCTTGACCGAAAGGCCCAACGCTGGAATCCTCCTTCAGTGAATCATTTTGCCAAAGTGGACCGGCTGCAACATGGCGTTTGGTCAGGAAGCTTGTGGCCTTCTCGATCTGGTCGCGTTCGCCTTTGATGCGTGCACGAGATTCCTGGCACAGGAGCAGGCAAGGCAACATCTTGACGTTAGATGCTTCCTGCTGGAGGTCAGGTAGTGTCAAGCTTGAAGTTTTTACCTGCCGAGTCATGCCATTTCGGCCTCGTGCTGGGAAAGCTTCAATGCATAGAAGAAGATGGAGAAGATCAGTGAATGCTGCCATGGGCTGCAGGTGCTCCCGATGCCCCGGAAGCTCCAGAGACACATCTCAAGCCATCCTCAACCAATACTAACATCTCATAGCGCTGGCCAGGAAGCCTTATCCCTGTTGAAGTTTTCACAAGATGCGAAGAATCCCAGACTCCATTGATTGCTCCAAGCCCTTGGGCTCTCATGCCTTCACACTTGGGCTCCCAAAAAGCCCACCCAGCCTCGCGCTCTTGACGGATTTGTCTCGCGGAGTTCTGGACCTCCAACTCCTCAGTCCGTGCGAAACATGGATTGTGGCATTCGGGGCCTCGTGATCAGGAACAAATTCGAACACCTATTACAGTCATGGGATATTCACTGGATCCCAGTTTTGGGGGTTGGGTTACCAAGGGAATCAAGTAGGTAGTGTAGTTGGTGTACGGGCATTTGGAAAGGGATTGCAGGAGGTTGTCGTTGACTTGCTGGGCTCTGGGCTCTCAGACTACTTCATCTTGCACGGCTTTCCTTTTAACTACCTGCATGCCAATGCCCCGTACTGAAGGTTCGGACGGCTTTCCTGGTTGCTTGAGCCCTTAGATGAAAGGTCCTCTGCAAAATCTCGCGTCAGCCACAGTAATTAAAGTCGACTGGCTCAGATCCCGAAGCTTGCAGCCAATCCCTCCGCGCGCTTCCTCCCTTCACAACCCAAAAAAAATCACATTGCAGGTCAGGTGCGGCTCGTCGTCGGTCATCGCGTATGCGGTCATACCTTGACCAGGAGACAGTCTCTGCACTTGTCGCAAAACTGCGTGCTGGGGGCTATCCAACAAGGTGAGCCCGCGGAGGTGTGCTGGCGCTATGTGTGGGAAACAAGATGGCTCAGATCGTCCTCTTGAGAGTCAGGCTTGGCCGCAGCTAAGCCAACACTTCTGCAAATTGCGGGGGGATGCCCGGTGCAGAGGAGCGCGACAAATTCCCAGATATCTCTGAGATTCCCTTTCTTGAGAAACCCCAAAGTTGCAGTATTTCGAATCGTACCACGGAGAGCGCCGAGCTTTGCGACAAACAGTCGTCTGAGCACATAGCAAGATGAGCTATGAAATGCCCCCCTTCGCAACCCTCAACCCAAGCTCATCAAGAAGCCTGTCAAATTTTCAGCATATCAACAACAACTTCGCCTATCACAATGCCAAAGGAATCCTGTACAATTCCATTGATGACACCCAGTAGAGTCCATTGGTATTCCACATGAGGTCATTTTGTTCGACACCAGGGCCCAGGCTCTGCCTGCTTCTGTGCGACGAACCTCAGTGCTCATGAGGCCCCAGCGCATGGGCTTTGCATAGATCTGTCGGTACAAGGGCCTTCATAAAGGTTTTGAAGGAGTTGGGCAAAGATTTCTTGGCCCCATAATTTGGGGAGTCTTCCTTGTGACCCTGTGATCACCTCATACGGGTTGCAAGTCCAACTGCACTCCGAGTGGATGTGCATCTACATTCCTATCGACCCTGCGTTTGCTAGTGAATCCCTTAGGCTCGCACTTCTCTGGAAGGCTTGTTGGTGGGGGTCTCAACACTACAGAGAAGCCCAATGGCAATGGACATCCCAGCACGTCTGCCTGTGTTGTTTGCACTCTTGTCACAAGGAGCGGATGCAAATAGTTGACAAAATCCAGCCTGGAAAGCCGCTGACTCCGATGATCCGGTGCTGCACCCGGACCATATGAAGAGATCTTTGCAGGAGTGAACCGAATCCCAAAACTGCAACTGCAGCAGCTCCTAGCCTTGAGGCCGAAACACCCAGCCTAAAGACCCCGGAGTAATAACCCAACCAAGGGCCCCGCTCCTGCCAGACACGTGCCTGCACTTGCAGAATCAGACTTGGGGCCCTGCAGGCTTGGGATTTGAGATTGTGGGCCCTGGAAAAAGGTTACATTGGGGAAATATGGGGTAGGGCTGAGGATCTACCTGCCACGCCAATGGCCTGGGAAGATGCTCGCAGCTCAGGAAACTTCGAGAACTGAGAAAATTGCGAGGGGCTGCTCCGGGACACTATCAAAAACAAAGTTGATTTAGGGTTTAAGGTTTAGGGTTTAGGGTCTCGGGCTTCGGGGACACTACTAGAAACAAAGCTGGTCGTGCATGCGCTCGGGTGTACTGCCTGGCCAACGAAGGGATGACTTTCACGAATTCTGATATCTTCAGGGTACAACGCGGCGAGCTGCTGACGTCTTTAGGAATTGCCACCGAAGTACAGGCAAACAAAACCCTTCTACAATGCTCAACCCGGATATTGAAAAAAATATTGAGGCAACCAGCACTCTGCCTGCATAGACCCTGGAAATACAAAGAACCTCTCGTATATTGGTTCGTCAGGATGAAAGGATGATTATATGCTCAACAACCATTCTGGCTAGACAGCGGTAGACCCCGAAAGCACTAAAGAAGCCCCGAAGAGCACCAGGAATCCGTTTCCCTTTGCTTCCAATGCAGTAAGTACACGGGAGCAAGAACACTGATGTGGAATTCGGTTCCCCAAGCAAAGTCAAATACAATCACATGTTTGGAGCCAGAAGACCAAACCTGAACAAACTAGAAGGAGAATACAGCAGAATAGGAATTTTGTGTTCAGGTTTTAGGGCACATGGACTAGCAACAAGTGCAATCATGCCGCTGTACAACCACATGATCATCAAAAAAGTAGAAGTCATGGAGAAGACTGCTGATCCAATTATAAGCCCCGGTACCTACCTGAGCAGCAAACCTAAGCACTAGAATACAAGAGCCACAAACCCCATCTAATATGAATTCGAATCTTGAATCCAAGAACCCCAGACCCCTCAACACTAAAGTCCTAAAACCTGGAAAAGAACAAAGCGCCTAAGACAAGGACATCTCAAAGGGAAAAATAATAGCTTCCATCTTGCTTTCCATCCCTTGCCAAGTCCCATGGTCCTTCCCTAACCCTAAAACCTAAACCCTGAACTCTAAACCCTAAACCCTAAACTGGGATGCCTTCTCCTCCTCGAAAGCTTGGCGCTCGCGCTGCAGCGAAGCGTAATCCTCTCGGAGCCTCAGGGGTTGTTTTCAACGCATTACTTTCAGAGTAGGGGTCTGGGGACTTCAGGGGCGGGGGATTGAGGGGTTCAGGGGCATAGGATTCAGGGGTTTAGGAACCTAGGGTTTAGGGATCTAGGGAGGGGGGCTGTGGTAGGGCCAGCCTAAGTGATGGGGTCTATATATACCGCAAGCAAAACTCTACCGTGCAGCTAAAGGACATGCAAGATCTAATAAGTCAGTTTCTGCGGGGATGCACCAAGTTATTCAAACAGAGCCCTAGGTCCACGCCTTTTATGCCCTTTTGCAACCATGTGTTCTGTGCTGTTGCTGCGAGGCAGAACTTTGTCTGCTAGGAGAACTCACCATATGCATCCAGAACAGCATAACCCAGAAACCCATCTCGCCGGATTAAGGTGATTGCATCGGCTTCATGACAAAAATGGGCAGGGCTGGCGAGGATGGGGGCTGAAGGAAGTTCCTGTGCATCATGCGAGGAATATGAAGGATGCATGGGGGCCCTACAAGAAGCATATCGGTACTTCAAAGCACCGCAGATGCCCTAGATTCGCTTGCGCCAGAATCCCACTGCCCTCATCAAAACAGCCACTTTTCTGGCTTGCTCAGCTATGAAGAGGAGTCATTCTTGGACAACCCATACTGTTACACATAAGGGATGTGAGGCTGAGCTTGTGGCTGCTTTTCCGCCTTCTGCACCCAAAGCCTTGCAGGGCAAGCAAAGCATAGAATCAGGGACTAATGGCGTTCTGCTCACATAGGACTAGGACATCACCCGGTCGTTCCGGGGAGGGGCACAAAGTTCTTGGTAGATATTGTGGAACAACACCAGCATATTGGCAGCACAAACCGGACCGTGGACACCAGGCATGGCCCTGAATGTTCAAACTACCTCACCGCAGAAAACTTAAGCTTTGTATCCTTACGCGAAGTCCAGACGGTTCAAAGACAGCCTGTGACATGTGGCAGCATAGAACCGATCTCTATTGCTGCTGGCATCTAATAGAGTCCATGTGGCTTGGCATGCGCAACACCAAACGCGCCAGCCACGCGTGAACGTCCGCTTTATTTCAGAGCTCATGGTGCTGAACTCATCCTGTGCAAAGGTTTGCGTCACAGGCTTGGAGTTCATGCCCTCATCGTGGGGTCTGCCAGGGCTTCTTTAGTCTTGGATCTGGTTATTACAGAGGTGCCCAACTACCAAGGAGATCTGTAATGCAGAGTCCGGAGGAGATCACAAGCATCACAAAGGGTTTCATGCCCATCAGCAATAACCTAACCTAACTCAACATGTCCGTTCAAGTCCCTTTTCCGGATAGAGCTTCCCCAGCTGAAGAACCCGGAAGCCTTAAAGTGGAGTGTGACACTCACACCCTCACCTCAAACAACACAGGTATCCTGCATTTGGTTATGATGCAACCGCCTCAGAAGCTGCGCCAAGAACCAGACAGCGTCAAAGGTCCTTGACTCCAGACATCTACAACTGTCGTCCGGCTGGGGCGCCTGTGAGGCAAGCCTCAATGGCGAAGGGGCCGGCGCTGTCTCCTAAACGGCATTCAAAACTCCTCCTTACATGCGGAACTATCCCTCTGTCCACAGCGTCATCTACCCAAGTTTGGCTAAGCGCTCTTACAAAACTTGAGCTTGAAGCCACAGCAAAAGGTCTCCGGAACGCGAACGTCTGGACCAGTTGGTGCAAAGGTGGAGGCGGTCGGCAACATGGCCGACGTGCCAAGTCCTGGCAGCTGATCCAACTCTAGGCGAATTTGTTCACCGATCCTTTGCGCTGGAAGGCGCGTTCAAGTAGCTTCGAACTGCGGAGTAAGGTTCTGCATCGGACTTGTGCGGTGTGCAGGCAAGGATGTCCTGAGAAAGATATCGTAATCCTCGTCTATGTTCTCAGTCCGAGCTCTGTGCATAATCAACGATGGTATTCCAAAGCTGCTACATGTTTCTGAAGTTTCATGAACCCTCAACCTTCGCCGTTGTCCATCTCAGACTTATTACTTGGGTATGCCTCAGGAGCTGGAGTGGAAAGATGGACAATAGGATCACACCAGGACCTACGAATAGCACCTGCAGCTGACTGGGACTCTGAAGCGATAACACGCGAGCATCTTGACCCCAAACCGGCCACCAAAGCCCTAAATAGTAGTTTCCATCGTATTTTCATGCCCTATATAACCCTATATAATAATAGTTTCCATCATATTTTCCATTATCCCACCATATCTCCTTTGTAACCTCTATATACCCCTATGTATTATAGTAGTTTCCATGTTTCCATTATCCCAATATGTCACCAAAATCTTGGCACCCACTGGAAGTCACTGGAGAAGCCTGCGTCAAAGGCGCTCGCCCGCGGTAGGGACGCAGGCGGCTCTGGGGCGAAGATTCCACTCCTGGACGGCACCTGAGACCCACAGGGATTACTAAACAATTGGGGAAAAATATGTTTCCCCAATTGGGGAGTACTAGGGTTCTAGGGTTTAGGGTTTAGTACACTTGTCATCGCAAGACTGGGATTGGAGAAGGCTTACTGTATGCTTTTTGGTAAGGATGCTTGTGAAAATCGTTGCAGACATGCAGATTGTTGTACATATGAGCGCCCATGCCAGTGCCTTTGCTTATATACGTAATTACATGTGTGAGCCTTAGTCTCCGCATCCTCCATGGCGTAGGGTGAAAATGCAGCACAAGAGGTACAGCCAGCATTGGCATGTTCGCGCGTACCCGCTCCGCTGACATCAGTTTTTTCATGCATGCTGCATTGACGCACGTCACGATGACTTGATGTGAGGGCGGCGCGTCCGCAAAGGGGCTGCTGCCGAAGCCCGCATCGGTGTAATCATTGAAGGCAGATTGCCTGCAAGCTTCAGGCTTCTGGGAAATGATAGGATCAAACTTAAGAGTACGGCCGCAGATTGAAACCCCTGCAAAGCACTGTGAAGCTGGAATAGTCCCCAGATTCACAGACCTTGGCTCGACCCAAGGCATGCAAAATTTACTCCGCAGAATCCCCAAGCCACCTCATCCCGGTACCTGGCATGGAGGGCGCCGAGTCGAAGGCAGCCATGATTGAACCACTGGGCCCCTAGTCTGGGCACGTCTCCCTTGCGTAGGCCTTGCTGACATGGAACTCAGAGTTGGGCTGCTGGCACATGACTTGGAGCTGTTCAGTGTTGTGTGCAGATGCTAGTGAAAGGTTGCGATTGTGATTGGAGACTGCGCAGCCTGACTTTAAAGTTTGCTAACATGAAGCAGAACCTGTTCCTTTTCCCATGTGATCTAAGCGTCTGGACTAAATCCTGCCGGAACGAATGTGCCTTCCAGTGTCCCCAATGGTTGAAGAGTTTCGTAGCCTAAAAAGTTGGAGAATCAAATAGAAAGCGCAATAGCAAATCAAAAAGAAGCTATGTCATTACAACACTGCTGTTATGGTGCTCGTTCATTTTAAAGCAAACAACTCTGCTTGCCCCAATATATATCCTCTTATAATGTAGCAGTTCAATGTTCTTTTCCATTGTCCCTATATAACCCCATTATAGTCCCTACAAACCCGCAAGAAAAAATCTAGACAAGCCAGAGCCCATAATTCAACCTCTGACTGAATAGGGTTTAGGGTTTAGGATAGATTTATTGGGGACGATGTGAAGGGTTATATAGGGATAATGGAAAACAAAATGGAGACTAGTACATCAATTACAATAGGGTATAAATTGGGGTTAATAGGGAATGACGGAATATTTTATGTAGGGCTTATATAGGGATTATATTCCCTTTTTCCCTACTAACCGCCAGTAACTTGTTCTCCGTCAGGAGCATCTGACTTTGCTCTTCACATCGCAAGAGCCCCGAACTCTTTAGTTTGCTCCTGCATATGCCTCAACCATAAGTTTTGGCATTAGTCTTTTTGGGTACACTTCCGAAATAATGCCTTCCTTCCCGAGTTTCAGGATGGCTGTTTTTGAGTGCAGATCCAGCCCTCCAGATTAAAGGTATCCAACCAAGCTATCTGATGATGAGGCAGGTATTGGAAACTTCCTGGATGAGCGACAAGGTCGACTTCAGAATACAGACAGGCTCTGGGTTCATCTGTCAAGACTTTTACATGTGGTGCCGTTTTACAAACATGTTTTAATAAAATTCCGAAATTTCCAACTGTATTTATGAGGCAATGAATGCGTAAGCACCTGCACCTGCACCGCACCATGCGTAGCAAACGTGCGACAAACTTTCATTCGGTCAAAGAGGTTCTGAAATTCAACCTGCAACCAACAGCGGAGTTATCGCATGCATGTGCACATCTCCAATGGCAATTCACGCGCTGAAAGGGCGTCGTTTCAAGGAATGTTCACAAGAACTAGCCAAAAAGAAAGCTCATCCTCAGAATTTCTTTTTTTGGTCATGCATGGCCATGCTCGGTGTCTGCGGGAGATTGCGCCATCGGCAAGCCGGCAGATTAATCCGACCGAGCAGCCAAGAGATTGAAGATCTTCGAATTCAGCATCGAATGCAATATCTGGATGATGATAGTTGTCGAGGGATTCCAAAGCATGGCCTACAGAAAAAGATCCCCGTCTCCTGTGCAATTTGCCCCGGCTTAGCCAGGGCCTTGGAGGCGCGAAGCACGGAGACTTCGGATGGATAGTGGAAAATGAAATGGAAACTACTAGAATAGGCTATATATTGGGATTATATGGGGATAGTGGAAAATCAATGGAAACTGCTATTTAGGGCTTAGGGTTTAAGGTCCTCGGCGTTGCTCCTCCTATATTGGATCTTCGAAGGTTGGATCTTGAGGCATATGGGTTTGTCTCAAAATGGGAAGTGCGCAGAAGGAAAACCTAAGATCTTGCGCACACTAGGCGAGTTACTTGGGATTGCAGCCCCGAGTGGCTATAAAGTATTTACCCAGTGCACACAATAAGTTTGACGGGTGACATCTCATAAGTAGGTTGTGATATATTCGTCCAAGCATGCCGAACTCAGACCCATCCCAAACACCCTTTGCCCATTGAAAACCCATACCCAACCCGGTATAGGCCATCGGGGCGTTCAATAAGTTGCCGGTTTGAGTTTGTTACATGTGGCTTGGGGTCCAGGTCTAGCTTCTTGCGGCCGGAAAGCTCACGCTGGCGGGAGTGGCGGGAGCTGCGGCGCCGGCGGCGCCGGCGCCGGCGCTGAATGCAGCAGCCGTCGCTCGAACTTGAATCCTGTGCATTCAAGGTGAACCCCAGATTACCGAAAAAAACTTTCGAGCCCAAGAAAACCGTATGGCCCCCCTGGTCGCCATCGTTATTTGCAAAATCTGAACTCTTCAGCAAATATAAGTTCATGTATTTTCTATTGATTTTACATCACACTCGCCGGCGCACTCCTGCTCGATTGCCCAAGGCCCCAAGCTAGCCGTCTCTGTGAGCCTGGCACGCAAAGTCGATTCTTAACAACCAGAAAAGGCAAGTTGCAACCACCGCCTGTAGTGGCGGGTCATCTGCCACAAGCCAGCTATCCCTGTGTTTTCTGACTCTAGCTGAATATTTCTCAGACTTAAAGATCGATAGGCCATGCTTTCACAGTTTGTATTCAAGAAAGTCAATCAATCTAGGCGGCGCGGTTAATCTCGTAAAGCCTTAGCCACCAGTGCGACCATGGTAGGCTCGGAAGCTGGTAGATCGAAACTGGAAAGATGCACCACAACAACGCAAAGCCTGCGATAGGCCTGTATCTGAGAAATACCAACCTTCTGCAAAGTTGGGCCTTTGCGCATGTATTAGCTCTACAGGGAACGCAGTCATCTTTCAACAACGTTTGACATTTTATGAGCCAGGGCGAGGCAGCGCAAGCGACGCAACATGACAGCATTGCACATGTTGCGCACCGTGGAAGTGCAAAAAAGCTAGGCTGCCTGTCTATGTGATCTATGCATTCTATGCGTTACTTTCACTGCAAGTCTGTGTAAGAGCACAGGCAGTGTGCGGGGGGGGCACCCCGAGCAAGCGTAGCGCTTTTTTAGATGTGAGAAGTTCATCCATGTCTACAGCGGAATCAAAAACATCCGCTGCGACAGAGCCTCAGCTGAAACCATTACATGTGATTAAGAGCAGCAAGGCAAGAATGGCAAGACTCCAAACAAATCCTGCATGCTTATCCACTACCGCACACGTAAGCTGAAGCGCTGACCCATGTTCGCACTTCCGGACTTGGCACCACCAGCAGGCTTTGGTATGTGTGACCCGAAGTCTTGATGGCTGATTATTGTGGGGGGGGCGTCCTTGCAGCTAAGACAACGTCGGGCATGCACTCCTTCATCTAGAATAGAACTTACTGCCCTGCGGACACGATGCGAATTCGGGCGAAGAGCGAACTGCAAGAAAAGTCAGCATCTAAAGCCAACACCTGGCCAAGTGCCACTTGTTGCAGTTTGGAAATTTTGCAGTCTCGCACTATGCTCTTTCTTTCTGACGCTTGGAGTATAGGTTTATGGCTACGGGTCAAACGCTGGTGTTTAGGGTTGAACAGGCACCGTTTCCTGTGGTTTAGGGTTGAGGGCTTAGGGTTGCGTCACTTTGGGGGACAGGCATCGTTTGTGTGGTTGCGTAGGAGGTAGGGTTGCAACTACCCATTGTCTTCATAGGGGTAGTATGTGGGTTTTGTATAGTTTTATAGGGATAATGGAAAAGAAAACGGAAATATTCAGGGTTTGGAGTTTATGTCTCATGCGGCTAGATAGATTTATCGTGGCCTCTTCAGACCTGTATCAGGCGCCATATCGCACATCCACGTCCCCTGACTCCAGAATTTCGGCAGCTTCTTGGAAGCCCCGCCAATGAAATCGTCCGACGTTCGGGAGTGCAGCAGCACAATGACAAGCTGATACCTCCTATTATATATAAAATGTAGACACCGTCAGGGGAAGTGTCAAGAAGGAAACTGTGAAGAAGCTTTGCTTTGTATGAGTACTTAGTACAAGGCTTTGTGTTCATGTCCCACGGCTCAACACCCGAAACAGTAATGTACAGCAAGGGCTCCATACGCATAGATACCTTGTCGAAAGGTCGAGGCACTCCCGTTCTGCACAGGCATTCCCAAAAATGCATGCCCAGCAGGCCTGTTTCTGTATAAAAGCAGCGTCCTCTACAATCTTAGAATCGCAACAGTGACATGGTTCTAGGCTCAGACTTTCAGTACTCGGGAAAATCCAAGGCTTTGGCGGAAACGAGACCACGGGGCGGAGTCTGACTGACTCGTTCGTCTGCAATCGCACAACGCTAATGCAATCCTGGCACAGTCATCAAACGTGTCGAGCTCGAGGGCTTCAAGTGCAGCACTTCCCATCTCGTCCCTACAGCACAGTCCTTCTCAGCAGAGAGGTGACTTCTTTGGTTGAGTTCGGAGCAACAATCGAGGTTTAAGGCATGGAGCTTGGGGTGTGGAATGCATGGTTCAACGGGCCGGGGGTGCTTGAAGGTCATAAGTTGGGCCTGAAGCGGGGCTGAGAGCGGGGAGTACGGCCATGCTTCCGCGCTTAATGCTTCATGATTGGAGGTAAGTGATGCTTTTCAAGACGGCACGGAGGGTAGAAATCCTGAAACGAACAAGCGTCCATACTTGACATGAATCTCACAAAGGCTCATTGGATCAGGAGGGGCTTATGATAGGAGCCAGAGTCCATAACACACAACTTGTTCAAGGGACTCATGCACCCAAACTGTCCGGGGAGTTTTGATCAGGGAGTCTACAGAAGGCTCATTCAGTGGTCCAGGTATGATGTAACAGAAAAGGGTTGCAGAGACTTGCTCACATCGCTTTTCAGAGAGATGACAACATCCGCAGCCATTGCAGCCAGGATTGAGGAACGGGTTGGCGTCCAATTGTGGCTGTTAAAAGTGCCAGAGACTGTAGGAATACAGGCATCAGCCACGGCATCTGGGCAAGAATCACAGAAGAACCGGAAAGTTTCTGATTGGTTGTCAGCTGTGCGCCAGGCGCCCGGAGGTTTGAGCGGGGATTGTACTTGGGCTTCTTGACGGACTTTGCAAGCTTTCA